GCTCAATGCTGCTGTGTTTCGTATGGTGAGTGTGGAGAACTGGAGCCCATTTTTACTGGAAACGAGGCATTCCATCTCAGTCCTCAGGGGTGGCGGCGCATCTGCATTTCGGTTCTTAATTGTGGATAAATATAGATGTCTACGGGCCACAGCATCCACTTACCAACAGGTGGACTGTGTGTTCGTTTGTCACCCTTATTCTATAAAATAAAAATTAAAAATAAAAAATATCGATAAAATTACTTGAAACGCCTGTCAAAAACCGTAAAGACGCAAACAAACTAACAAGCATGCGTACTCGTAATATTGACTCGACAAAAGAAACTGTATTTCCCTATCGCGTATAGGTAATTTATTTATTTGAAGCATTGCGGTGAATCAGTGTCCCCAAGGCGCATTTATTTGCACGCACGCCTCGATTGTCAATGTTTGTGATTTGTTGGCAGTCTTTTTTCTTATTGAGAATTTTTTTCTTTGCAATTGATTTTTTTTATATCAGTAAGGGTGACAATCGAGAGCACAGTCCACTCGATGGTACGTGAATGCTGTGGCCTATACATACCTAAATTTATCATCGATAGAGAACGATGACGGTGCGTAGTCATCCCTTTGGGCTGAGATGGAAAGTCTTGTCACCAAGTACCAGTAAAAAGTGCCTCCGGTTCTTTGAAACACAGCAGCATTGGTATTCTGTGTGAGTACAGTCCATTCCCAGTTTAGGCGATCCAATCATGCTGCAGCCATAATTCGCAGCAACTTCACTCTGCCACGTACGAGAACTTATACGAGTATACTTTATAAAACCCGATAGTCGGACTTTAGTAGTAATAATAAGCATTAAATTGTGTTTTATATTTACTATTGCTACTAAAATTATATAGTTAAACTAGCTTTTCCTAAATTTCTAAAATAATATAAAATAATATATAAATAATCTAATTTTCTAAAATAAAAGTAGCCTAAGTTACTCCTTATGAAACCAGCTATCTGCCAGTGAAAGTTCCGTCAAAATTGGTCCAGTCGTTTCGGAGATTAGCCGGAACAAACAGACAGACAGACAGACAAAAATTTTAAAAATTGAATTTTAGTTATAAGTACCGTATTTACTTTCATATACATTTAGTAAAAGACTCTAATTTTGACATTACAAACAGACACTTCAATTTTATTTATTTGTATAGATTGTTAATGTGTGTAGGTACTGGATTCGAATCCTAGCTCAAGACCACAAATCAAGTGTTCGCTCCTGCTGAAGCATCTAATCGTTTCCTCCCGTGCCTCCGTATTTAAACGAATATTTCCGACACTAATATAAAATTGCCTCACCATTTTTTTTATTTGTGACTGGTTAATCATTATCATCAAATTTCTGCTTCTTCTTCCTAAGCTAGCAAAAGTCCACTGCTGGACGTGGGCATTGCCGATTGTACTTATAACATAACTAATTCTTAGATATAACATCCATCCAAATCGACTCCTAGACCGAGAAAGAGCTAAGCTATCTAATAGAAATAGAATTCTATATAAATATACCCGGGTTCGATCCCCGCCGGCACCAATGAAATTGTTAATTGCAATTTTAAGTGCTAATTTACCACGTGCTCGGCGGCGAAGGAAAACATCCTGAGGAAACCTGAATATCTGAGAAATAAGAAAAAATATTTCAAAGACATGTGAAGTTCGCCAACACGCATTGGGGCAGCGCGGCGGACTTTTTCTTGCACTAAAACCCTCTCAGAAATGAGAGGAGGCCTGTGACCAGCAGTGGGATGTATAATAGGCTATAAATTTATACCTCAGCTCATTGCGTTATTTAAAAGCAGCGACCGCAAGTTCGAATCCTGCTCGAAACAATTATTTGTTCGGCTGTGCCTACAAATATTTAAATAGATTTTACCTGAAATTGATGTTTTTAAGTGCAATTTATGTAAGAAAACGCCTCCAGGACAGGAGAGTTTTACCTATACCTAATTTTTAATATTGGTGGCAAATGATAAAGTACCATAGTAAATTAATGCGCGTAAGTGTCGAAAGTTGAATTAGTAGTTAATCATAGGCTTATAATTGTTAAAAATAAACTTTTGAGAAAAAAAAAACAACTTGAAATAGGTACTAAAAGGAATAAAATAATTTGCATAGTTGTTCCGTGAGGTATTCGAACCCGCGGCCCCTAGCGCAGCAACTCATTGCTAAGCCACTACGCCACGGAGCCGTCATTACGTGCAAATTATTTTATTCTTTTAAGTATTTTAAGTCGGTTTTTGAGGTTATTTTTGTACCCGTTTGAATGAATATATGAATATTACAAATTCAAGCTAACAGCTAGAGCTTTTTTACGTGATAGAGCCATGCTGCAGCTATATTAGTAGTACAGTTGTAGCACGAATGGGTCGGCTCGACCGGGGAAAGACCACGCTCCCACATAAAACCAGCGTAAAATAGCAGCTTACGCTGCTGTGTTTCGTATGGTGAGTGTTGAGAACCGGAGACCCCTTTTACTGGCAAAGAGGCATTCCATCTTAGTCCTCAACGCATCTGCATCTTGAGTCTTTATTGAGGATAGATGTAGATGTCTATGGGTCGCAGCAACCACTTACCATCAAGTGGACTGTGTGCTCATTTGTCACCCTATCCTATAAAAAAAATAGAATATCGACTTAATAGTTATATTAAAAGCTCTACTTCCTATTTTCCCACCCTTAAGGGTGATTTTTTTTTAAATTAAAGGGACCGACCCTGCAGTATAACCTATTTATTTAAAAAACATGCGTGAGTGTCGTAGAAACACTTGGTTGGAAAGAAGTTCCTTTCGTAGTATATTATTATTGATAAACGTATTATAGATTGACAAATACAAATAAATGAATTCCTTGCATCTATTAAAATGAAGCGTCATTTAAAATAAAATAATATTTCTTTCATGGCAAGATAAGAAAAAGTGCGAGGGAGATGGATACTATTCCATCTCGCTTCCTTACAGCCGCCAAAGCTGTCTCAAACACTACTTCAGAAGGAGTCGTGACGGAATAGTCTTACACTATTTCTCGCCTAGCCCCCATCCGCCAAATTTGTACCGTCCGATAAGGAACTTCGTTCCAATAATCATTGAAATCGGTCGTAAACAAAGAAGTTATGTCCTAACCCAAATAAGTGACATGTACAGACGATTTGTGAATCCCCCACCGACTTCAAAAAAAGAGGAAGTACTCATTTCTATTGTACTTTTTTATGTTTGGTGTCTCAGAACTTTTTTCTAGGAAAACCGATTTTGATGATTCTTTTTTATTTAAAACTGGTGCTTCTCGTGTAGTCCCTTATAAATTTGATCAGAAACCGACCGGTAGAGTTTTAGTTATTCTTAATAATGCATATTTAATTGACTTCGACTACACTGATGATGTTCTCATTTTATTTATATTGAAGTCGGTTGTAGATTCTTTTTTTAATTTTACCCCTTGTTTTATATCACACAAGACAAACGAGCATGTTCACCTGATGGTAAGTGATAACCGCCGCCCACCCGACTACGATTTTCTAAATCGGTTAATAAAAGGAAATGTTAATGTAGAGAACCGCAGACCCTTTTCACTGGTAACGAAGTATTCGTTTTAGACCTCAGGGGTAGCAACACATCTACAATTTAATTAATGCATGATAAATTTAGATACATATTATAGATCACAGCGTTTAGTTACTAACAGGTAGATTGTGTGCTATTTTGTCAACCTTACCTGCTTGTATTAAAATTTTAATTTAATTAACTTCAAACGGAAAACTGATGAACTTTTGTGACAATACGAAAGTTGTAAAAAAATATTTATTAACCATGGTGTCAATTATCGATTAAAAAGTTTTGACTGTTTTTCATGTAACATAATTCTGTCTATATTAAAATAACTTATTTTGCAGTCGGTACGGGGGCGCGGTAACGCGGTTAGCGTCGACAATGACTTGACGAAGGCAAATCAGATTTGCCAACCCTCCCGGTTATTTTAAACCTAGTCAGTCATTTTGCATAGTTTTAGAGGGGTGACGATTGCGGGAATTTGTGAAACTAAAGATATGAGCTGAATAGATAAAATTTTGTCGTTATATATACACAAATGAGTTTTTAAATATGTAAAAATAAATATAAGTAAAACTTTATACATAGGTACATAAACACTCACGCCCGTCATCCAGAGGGGTAGGCAGAGACTACAGACTTCCATTTGGCGCGATCCTGAAACGCCTCTCACTGATGAAAGAGTGGCAAAACAAATTTATGTTGCAGAAATGAACGGCAGAGTCGGGAAGGGTACACCCAAGAAGATGGTTTGTCGACCAAATTATCGATATATTGAAAATGGGCCAGATTAGAGGTACCTTTAACCGACGAGCGTGTATGCGTATATATATATGGTTGTAAAACTTTATCTTTATCCTTTTTATAAATAAACACAGTCGCACAATTCACCCGAGGGTAAGTGTCTACTGTAGTATATGATGCCCATTAATATAAAGGTGGCGTCATAGTTCTTTTTTCACTGCCTTATTAAAAAAAAAACTAAAAAGAAACGGCTCCTATCCTACAATATTATTTTGGAGATTATACTAATTCTCTTATCCCTCAGACCGGAACGCGGCATTGGTTACACTGCTGATTGGCACCAAAAATAGCTGAAACCTAAACTTCTAGGCAGGATAGAAGCCCTGCCAAATAGATTAAAACATCGTTCTATTAGGCATGATACACTAATGATTATTCTATGAACTGTACCCTAGCACACATAGATATTCATATTACATATTGCAGCTCATGTGTGCAGTGTAATAACTAAGGAAAACTATGCAGTACATTTTTACGATATACATATTCTATCTTTTGAAATAATGTATAATTTAAAATAAAAACGTTTTTGGCACATTTCTTTTTAAGTTTATAAGTAGACATTTCAGTTATATTGTGTGCATATATTAAAAAGGTAATGCTACGAAGCAGATAACAAATAAATACAAACCTTTAAGCGCCTTACTCGTAGGCGGTGGGTCGCGGCTCCACGGCGGGTCGCCATGACCGGAGAAGTCTCTTAACTTGAGGTAGCTTATGGTCAGTCTGATGATGGACGCTTTGTCTAGCTGACTGGTGATTGCGGCGGGTAGTGGTAGCATCTTCGCCAGTTCGTAGAACTCATAATTCTCTTTCCCACGTCTAGAGCGCGCCGCATCACGACTCTTCTCCTTTCGCAGTTCGAGAATACTGTAAAAAAAAAACGAGTTAGATAAAGATTCTATTAACTTGTAGGTAAATTAAAATGTGTAAGGACTTGCTTATAACAAGAAAACTTTAGCACAAAAATAGGAACATTCATCGAAATTGACTCTATATAAGATGTTCAAAGCGTTTGCATTATATTCCATTTTAAACCCTTAAAGATTTGTTTGTAATTACATAAATAATATTTCAGTTCCAATGAGCAATCATCATTAAGTAGAGGCAAAGAAATTCTCGTTTCACTCCTAATCAATTAAATTTATTAATATTTCAACTAATATTATATTCATTTTAAAACTTCAAGTGTAAACTGTAGAAAACATATTTGTTATAGAATAAAGGTGACAAGCGAGCACACAGTTCACCTCATGGTATTTGGATGCTGTGGCACATAGACCACAACATCGTAGCTCGATTAAGAATCAAAATGTGGATACGTTCCCACCCTTTACAACTCAGATAGAATGCCTTATTACCGTTTAAAAGGATCTTAGGCTAACAAGAAACACAGCAGCATTATGCACCTATTTCATGCTGGTATTATGCATGAGCGTGGTCCTCCTCCGATCGAGTAGACCCATTTGTGTTGCAGCCCGAATACGTTACAACGCCACAATAGCAGTACCTCGACCTTGCAAAAATGAACTGTAATGGAACGTTAATAAGAACCCTTACTATATTACGAGTACATTTTTTAAATAAAAGGTGTTGTGCATTGTAGGCATGAGTTAGAAAAACTATTTATGTCTTTCTGTTTTTACTGTGGTTTTATACTACATACGGAGTCATAGAGTATGGTTCTCTGTTTGCCCTGTTTGTTTAAATAGCAAGTTAGTGATATAGTAATCTATTAAATAATAAGTAATATCTATCGGTGCGTTAAAAGGGAGTTATGTTAGATTATTTGAACCTACTCTCATTTTTAGTTTTTTTTTTTAGATTATGGGTGACAAACAGTCACAACAAAAAGTACACAGTCTACCTGATAGTAAGTGGTTACTGTGGCCCACAGACATCCACTTTTCAATTGAGAGATAAAATTCAGATGAGTTATCACCCATGAGGTTAGTTCTCATGGGTGATATGGCTGATGGAATGCCTCGTTTCCAGTAAAAAGGGTCTCTGGTTCTCTACACTCACCATACGAAACACAGTAGCATTAAGCTGCTATTTCACGCTGGTATTCTGTGAGAGCGTGGTCCTTCCCTGGTCAAGCCGACCCATTCGTGCTTGCATTCGCTTGCTTGCGTCTTACTTACTTAATATAGCTGTAGGATTGCTCTACCAGGTATGAAATACGTATGACTTTGGAAAATGATTTATGTCTTTTTGTTTTTACTGTGAATTCAGACATAGTTTATGGAGTCATAATGTTTTTATCTGACTGTTTGTATAGCAAGTTATCGGTACAGTATCTAATAAATAATATCTATGGGGTCGTTAATAGGCATTCATATAAGATTTTTTGAACCAACTCTCTTTTTAAGGTGAATTATTTTGGTTCTTTTGATTTTTTAATACGAACTTTTACATATTTTCGTGAACATTTTTACAGATCGTATTTCTGTGATGTATTTATGGACATATATCCCTAAAGTATCATGTCAGATGGGTGTGTACACCCAGTGAATACCGGCACACCCACGCCACGCCCGCGGGCGGGGTCTCTAATGAGCCCACTGTTTTATTGACTGTACTTATGGCGTTTTTATTTAAAACAGGCTTTTGGTCATTTACATTTTAAAATGTGTTGCGGGCAAATCGGACTCGTTCTGCCTGCGTCTGAAGGCAAATTAATTTGCTTTTTCGTTTAATCAATTATGGTTGGTTATTTTGTTCGTTTCCAATAATATAAACATTTTAAATCTAATTAAAATATTTAGGTATCCATAGGTATTATGTTTTCAACTGAAGGTACTTCTTCTTTGGTAATTAATATTATAGCACAAAAAAAAGAATAATATGTAGATAGTAGGAAGGTAGGCCAAATTAATATTATGAAAATATTTTAGTCTTTAGTGTGAAATTTGTAAGTATATCTACAGATAAAATAAGAAAATAGTGTTACATCTTGTTGTATAATTTACTAAAGTGTCAATAAAATATGATTTTAACTTCACTTTAAAGTTATCCATGAAGGAGGTGTATATAATCAGCTGTGGACTTTTGATAAAATGTAATGAATGAATGAATGTTTTTTTTTATAAAAAATAATTACATGATCACAGTAGGTACTAATATTCCCGTTAAATATTTTAAATATAAGCTTAAAATGCTGGAGCGAGGAGTGGTCCGCATAAAACGATTTCAGCTTTTATTCCAAACTTCTATTAGGCAACTGTCTCGTGAAAAAAGTCATAATTAATAAAAAATGTCTGTTTAATTAACAACAGTGAACTGATTTTAAAAATTTGGGCGATCAATTTTTTTCTCCTTAGGGATGGATGACGCCTCTCTATCTCGATTAACTAAAATACAAAATTTTATCCAGATTATTATCTAGAGTTGTTTCCGAAAAACCATTTACACATCTATGCTTTTTTTATAGGATAGGGTGACAAACGAGCACACAGTCCACCTGATGGTAAGTGGTTGCTGTGGCCCCTAGATATCTACAAAATGCAGATGCGTTGTCACCTGTGAGGACTAAGATGGAATGCCTCTTTTCCAGTAAAAAGGGTCTCCGGTTCTCTAGACTCACCATACGAAACACAGCAGTGTTAAGCTGCTATTTCACGTTGGTATTCCGTGAGAGCGTGGTCCTTACCCGGTCGAGCCAACCCATTCGTACTACAACTATACTACTAATATAGAAGTAGAAAATGCTATACAACAATTGCTCATTTAAAGTATAGGATATATATGAATATATTTTAAAATTGTTTGTTATAAATAATTAATAATAATTAATTAATTATAGAGAAAGAAAGAATGAGAGAAGTATGATCGATTTGTTCCTGGTGGATGACCGACTGCGAAAACAGGTTATGGATACGCGAGTGTTCAGGGGTGCTGACCTGGGAACGGATCACTATCTAGTGATTACTAGATTTAGGGGTCTGTTCGCGGGTTGGCGCTACCGGACGACAGTGACAGAACCACAGTCGGTCTGTCGCATCCGAAGCTGGAAGCTTCAGGAAGCGGATACTAGGGACAAATATCATGCGAGGGTAGCCGAAAAGCTTGACACCATCGATGGCAGAAACGAATGTGTAGAAAGAACATGGCAGAACCTTAGGGATGGAATGGTAAGTGCAGCGGAAGAAGTGTGTGGAACAATAAAAAGAGGCAGTAGTAAAAGAAGAGATGCATGGTGGAATGATGAAGTGAAAGAAGCTGTAAAGAAGAAGAAGAAAGCATGGTTAGACTACTTGGCCTCTAGTAATGATAAGGATATGAGAGAGAAGATGAAAGAAAGATATAAGCTGCAGAAAGTTCACACGAAAGCATTGATTGAGGAAGTGCGTGAAAGGTGTAGAATGGAAGCGGATGAAAGGTTGTCGCACAACTTTAAGGAGAACTCCAAACTCTTCTGGAAAGAGGTTGGAAGGACCCGAAGTGGTGCGACGGCCTTAAGAATGAACAAAGTGCTTTCGAGAACTAATGACGTCCTCTCAGAAAAATTGGACGTCATGCAGCGATGGAGCGAATTTTATAGAGAAATGTATGCGTGTGATGATCTTAGTGAGGGATCCGGGGATGACGCCGTGACTGGCACGCCAGACCCGGACCTCGATGACACTGAGGTCATCAGTATGAAAGAGATTGAACGTGCGATTCGAAGTTTGAAATGTGGTAAGGCTGCGGGACTAGACAGAGTTACTGCTGAAATGGTCAAGTATGGTGGGCCTCGCGTCTGGGACAGCTTTCATCTGCTGTGCAATTTGTGCTGGCGGACTGGGGATGTCCCGGATGATTGGCGATCCGCAGTCATTGTGCCTTTATATAAAGGTAAAGGTTCACATTTTGACTGCGGGTGCTATCGGGCGATCAGCTTGACCAGTTTAGCAAGTAAAGTTTACTCGAAGGTTTTGACACGTAGGATGCAAGAGAAATCGGAAAGATTTCTATGGGAGGCACAATGCGGATTTAGACCTGGAAGAGGATGCACGGATCAAATGTTTTCTCTCCGTATGATCACGGAAAAGCTTCTGGCTGTTAACCAGAAGATTTTCTGTGCTTTTGTGGATCTTGAGAAAGCATTTGATAAGGTTGTAAGGAAGAAAATGTGAGAACTGTTGCCGGGGTATGGTGTGGATGGCCGATTGCTAAGGGCTGTGCAGTCTCTTTACTGTGACTGTAAAGCCTGTGTGCGGGTAGGGCATGACCTGTCACCCATATTTAGCGTCCAAACGGGCGTAAAACAGGGTTGTGTCATGTCTTCCTGGCTGTTCATACTGTATCTCGACAGCTGTTTACAAAAGCTGAAAGATAGCTGTTTGGGTGTGAAATTGGGTGACATAAAAGTAAATTGTCTGCTGTATGCTGATGATGCAGTGCTTATTGCACCATCAGAGGCAGAACTGCAGGCATTAGTCACGTGTATGAAAGAGGAATGTGAAATTAAAGGTCTCCGTTTGAATGCTAATAAAACTAAGGTTCTGGTATTTGAAAGGGACGAAGAGAGAACGAAGTGTGAAATATGGGTAAATCAGGAATGTCTAGAACAGGTAAATGAAATTGTATACTTGGGGAGTGCTTTTAGCCGGGATGGAAGATGTGATTTAGATGTGGACAGGCGTGTTGCTGCCGGGAACAAAGTCAATGGTGCCCTGACTGCGTTAGTCAAAAGGCAAGGCGTAGCGAAGAGTGCACGCCTTGCAATACATAACGCAGTGTTGGTACCGACTTTGTTATATGGCAGCGAAACCTGGGTATGCCAGAAGAAGCATAAAAGTAAGTTGAATGCAGTGGAGATGCGATCTCTTCGTAAAATGTGCGGCGTTACTATGGCCGACCGAAAGCGAAACGAAGAGATTCGCAAT